CCACTCTGTGACCCCTCCCCCTCCCGAGGTGGCCGGAGAGGGGGGTGGGGAGGGGTCAGCGGGGAATTTGAGGGGTGGGCAGCAGGGCAGGGGTGCGGAGGGAGCTGCGGGGGTTCGATTTGGGGGGGTGGGCAGCGGAGGATGGGTGCGGGAAGACCCCAACCGTTCTATCTGACATTTCTGCGTCCCCCTCCCCAATCCCGGGAGGGAGTCGGGGGGAGGCAATTTGGGGGGTGGGCAGCAGAGGGTGAGTTCTGGGGGATGGGCTGTAGGGAATGGAATCTGGGGGGCATTTTGGGGGGCTTTTTTGGGGGAGGGGCACCAGGGGAATAGCGTTTGAAGACCCCAACCCTCCCCATAACCTCACTGTGTCCCCCTCCCCAATTCCGAGGAGCCGTTGGGGGGGCGATTTAGGGGGTTGGGCACCAAAATAGGGTTTTTGAGGGGATTTTGGAAAACCCCAACCCCTCCTCCTCGTGTCCCCCTCCCCATTTCAGCCCCGAGGCCCCGGGTTTGCCCCCCCGGCCCTGGTCCGGCAGTCAGGACTCTCAACTCGGGGGTCCACCCCCTGCTCCCGGCCCTCCCCCACCCGGAGCCCCCCGCACCCGGCGCAGCAACAGCTCCGAGGCTTTGATCGACTGGGGGGGACCCCCGGAGACCCCCCCGGAGGCATCGCGGGGTCGAGGGGGGGGTCCCGGCGCTCCGGGGGGGGTCGCCGCTGTCCCCCCTTCATCGGCGGAGCAGCGGCGCAGTCAGAAGTGGTTGGCGCTGGAGGGGCTGCGGGACTGGTACCTGCGGCACACCGGGACCCCCCCCGCGCCCCGCTTGGGACCCCCACCCAATACCGGGCCCCCCGCCTCTTGGGCACCCCCCCCGCGCCGCCGGGACCCCCCCCCGGGGCTGCCGCACTCGCTCAGCTACGCCGGGGCCCTGGCGCCCAGGTACGGGGGGGTTCCCCGAGGGTACCGCGCCCCCCTTTTTTAAGGGGTGGAGGGATGGGTTTGGGGAGGGGGAAGGGTTTGGGGACCCCCCCCGGGCTGTTGGGGAACCCCCCGTTCACTGGGGAGCATCGGGTCTGAGTGACCCCCCTCCCCCCCCGTTTTGGGGACCGTGCCTTTATTGGGGATGTCCGGATCTCCCCTATCCCAAATTTGGGGACCCTTTTGTCCTTTGGGGATCCTTTTGTCCTTTGAAGACCCCCCCTCCATTCACGGGGACCCCTCCCATCCATGGGGACCCCCATTTAGGGACCCTCCCCCGTCCTTCACGGAGTCTGAATTGTCCCCAAATTGGGGATTCCCACTCGGGTCCCTCCCCCCAAAACCCCCCCTTTCACCCCCACACCCCCTCCCCAAGTGTCCCTCCCCATTTGGGGTCTCCCTGCCCCAGTTCCCCCCAATCTCTCCAATTTTGGGGCTCTGTCTGACCTTTCGGGGGGGTCTCTCCTACCCCCTCCTCTGTTTTTCCCCCCAATTTTGGGGCTCTCTCTGCCCTTTTGGGGGGGGTCTCTCCTGCCCCCTCCTCTGTTTTTCCCTCTTTTCTCCATTCCGGGGTCCCGGGTTGGGTGACAGAATTCGGGGGGTGGGGCGCAGGTTTTGGGGGTGTCATTTTGGGGGGGCCTAACATCTTTTTCTCTTTTCTTTCTTGTTTTTTTCCGTTTTTCTGTTGATTTTTTTTTCTCTCTTTCCTTTATTTCTGCTTTTCCCCTTTTTATGTCACT